AACATGTATATACACATCTAATCTCACATACTCAATAGAGGAAAACAGTAAAACAAACATGTAACTAAACATCTAATCTCACATACTGGCTAAAGGGAAACAGTAAAACAAACATGTAACTAAACATCTAATCTCACATACTGGCTAAAGGGAAACAGTAAAACAAACATGTAACTACACATCTAAATTAACAAGACCAGCTCCAGACATGGAAAAGCAACAGGGTGATTTCAAATACACAATCTAACCTGTCTCAAACGGACACTGAACAAACTTGCAGCAAAACAATGGGAACTTCTGTATAGCATTAATAAGTATATTATTGGGAGATACAGGCAATAATTTAGCTGTTGTAGTAAAACTGGGAAGATTTTTGTTTCAATGTGCTTTATTCAGAATAAAATCATAATCATAATGTAGTGTGAGCTAAATGGCAAACAGTTTTATTTTTAGGGTTAACATAATTGAGCAAAAGGTATACCAAATATACACAAACATTCTCTGTTTTGCTCAACTTTTAATCATTTTATTACTGATAATTCTACCATAGCTCATTGCCTCCTGGCATATAGCTCTTTTAACTGCTTTCCTGTGGGAGTGGCTATATCCTGAAAAATGGCCTTACAGGTGAACAGGGCTTACTGGGATGTGTACATGTAGGACTCTCGTCCTTGAGATAGTAAACCTGTGGACTGCAATCCTTGAGGGGACAAACTGCAATACCTGTACAATGCCTCCATGTAGATTCATACTCAAGACCTTCACGCCAGTGGATGATCATCTAGTCACTGCGCTATGATGATTCCTAAACCAATTGTGCTGAACTGATTTCATGCCGTTCTTTTTTTTTTCTGGCAGTACACAAGGATAAGCAGTACTGGCACCTATTTTTAGGTTTCATTGTTTCAGTGCTACTGTAACAGGCAATGAGTATCAACACCATTTTAAACACATTTTGTGGTGACCTCCGGAACGATTTTAATCTACACAAGAAGCCCTGGTTTCATGTCATCATGTTCTGAAGCAATCAACGCGGCCAAAGCTTCCAAAATGCCTATCAACTCAACTGTCTGGACTAGAGCGAAAACAATTTTAGAAAGACAATACATAAAAATATCTCAAGCTGTACACTGTACATAAAAGCGGCTGGGGCTGACCCATCGAGGTCCTACTGGTCTATAAAACTAAGTGCCTGGCAGTATAAGCCTGATCGCATTTGAAACCTGGTTGACCACTGGCAGGCCACTAGATGACTTCGTCAAAGGCTAGGAAAGACAAGCCTGACATATATCTCTACTGAAAACTGGAGCAATGAGACAGAGGTTTGAAGACAAAAGTCATCATCATCATTCCGTCATGATAATAATTTCCATATAGGGCTCAGACTAATTCTCCATTCTGTTTCATCCTGTGCAATCATTTTCCATATGGATGGAATCCACTCCAGCACCTTTGGATTCTCCCAGAAATGTTCACCTTTGGATTCTCCCAGAAATGTTCACCTTTGGATTCTCCCAGAAATGTTCACCTTTGGATTCTCCCAGAAATGTTCACCTTTGGATTCCCCCATAAACGTTCACCTTTGGATTCCCCCAGAAATATTCATTTAAGGGTGTCCCTGGAAAAACCTAATTTCTTCAGTCCATATGTTTCCCATTTCAGAGCCTGCCTGGTGCTTCCCTGCTTGCTTCTTCTCAGGATGTGCCAAAAATGGGGCCATATTTTTTTAATGGAAAGGTGGAAAGTAACTAACCTTATGGTGCCATACTAAGAATTTTTATTTTAAATGTGGAAAAGTGGAAGGTAACTTACTTTATGGTGCCATACTAAGAATTTTTTTTTAATGTGGAAAAGTGGAAAGTAACTTACTTTATGGTGCCAAACTAAGAATTTTTTTTTAATGTGAAAATCTAGTGTAAAATTGCATGTTCTTTAAAAGAAACAAAATAATTCACAGCCTACTAATATTTTCTAAGAGGGTATCACTCTTTCAATTATATATTAATGTAAGAATAACTTTAAAATTTTTTTTTACCCATACTGAGAGTGTTTTTGTGGAAATTCTGGTAAAATGAATCTGTTCCTAAAAAAAAAAAAAAGAATCGAGCCAATGCCCAATGCTCCCCCCCCCCCCCCCCATAAGCATGTTGTAAACAGTGACCAGTTAGGGAGATTTTCTTCGAAGTCATAGTGCATCTGCCTAAGAAGCGAAGAACCAACAGTCTGTATGCAAATAATCCAGATCTGTAAAATGGATGTGCATGCCAGGCAAAACTCAAGTTTTGTAAAAAGACCAGAAGTGGAAAAACAATCAGAATTTTCCACCCGCGTTTACAGTCAGTCAGCGCTAATAACAATTTTTTTTTTTTTTATTAAATCACACTGAAGAATTTTAATTTATAGAGTGCTGATACAAAACTTATAAAATTCTGACACAAACTCACAAAACAACACAAGTTAACAAATGAGTATGCGTTTTCCTTGCTTGTCACTTTTTCCTTCTTCTGCATCTGCCTTCAAAAGGGCAACTGGTGCATTGTGTAGTGGTTTACACCTAGAATGTGATTTCTAGGCCTTAATTTCTGTGATTTCAAGACATCTGATTTCTGCAAAGCCCTTAATTTTTTTTACTTTTTATGACACGGATCTACTCCTTTTCCTCCAAAATGGAATCCACATATGGGGCATTATCACCTTCACTTTCTAAATCTATATGCTAGTCTTTCTGAGCCACTAATGCAGCTTTGCAATTTTTGTTTTAAATTTAAACAAGCTCCAATGGCAGTGTAAAAGCACCTGGCGCGCCACGTACAATCTTTATTTTAATGCCCTGATGAGTTTTAAAACAGAACCTTATATCTCCCTCGATACCAACAGCGGTAAAAGAGGAAGTGAAGAAGAAGAAGATGAGTTTTAACTGCAGGGGAAAATATATTGAAAATGCACTCTGATACACAAATGTACCACATAATGCAAGTGTGCAGATACATATTTTTCTCTAATCTCATCAATCCCTACACGTATGTTTATACATCTTTCAAACAAACAACACATTTTCTGTTTTTCACACACATATGAAAACAACTGGGGTTATGTCAAACAAAATAAAATGAAAATTATAAGGATACTGCAAATGTTTACTTACATAATGTAATGTCAATGCCATAAAAATCTGTTGTATCCAATGAAAAGTTGTTGTATTCACTAAAAATCTGTTGTATTCAATGAAAGTCTGTTGTTTAAAAAAAAAAAAACACAACTGTTGCTTAACTCTTTCTGTCCCAAATACTGACTGGTTCATTCTGGTTTGTACCGAACATTGCATCAAACGTAGCCATACTTCTTAAAGTTTTGTTACAGCATACTTAAGAAACCTGGCTTCAATGGCTTCTACAAAAACAGAACTTGATGTAGCTGTAGGGACGCCACTGCAACACATTTTATATGGCTGAACAGGGTTTCCAGGATTTGCTTCTGTTGGACTGGCATATGAAATATGGTCCTTTGACCCATTGTGTGTCAAACTTTAATGTTGCAGTCATGGGGTAAAAATACAGAAAAAAAAAAGCCTAACTTCTCTCCCACAATTTACAGTCTTCTTGTATTTTTAAAGCACATGTGACATGAGATTTTTTTTTGGGAAGGGGGGGGGTAATTTTAGTAAAAATTTTTTTTTCGGGTGGTAATTTTAGTAACACAAATAAAAATTCATTTCAAGATAGACCTAATTTTTATAAACCAGCTGCCGTTACTTCCCGGGACTGCACCGGGTACCCACTCAAGGCTGGGTCGACCTGGGAGTCAAGGTCATTTTTTTTTAAAAAGTCCGGCTCCGCCAGGGAGCATACCACAACCTTCCGATCTGCATGCAAGCGTTAGCGTCTATGCCACAGCGAATCTCACACATGGTGCGCATTTTGTATTCTAAGTAACGGAAAATACTTCTTACAGATATGGTGCTAAAACTACATTTTTAGATCAAATGCCACTCTGTGGATGTTTTGGTCAACATCATCGCAGCCACCTTTTCTTTCCCAGGATATTTAATAGTCCCCCATTTCAGGCTGGGACGACCTGGAAGCCAAGGTCAATTATTAAATATTTGACTTGATAAGACAAAATGTATGGTAATACGCCACAATTTATATGTTGAATACAAGGTGTGTTCATGTGTATCAAGCATCACTGAAATTATTACATGCATAATTTTTGGTTATGGTTGTTGCTTCTTGTGAGCATCTGCTGCAAAGCCGCATGGGACAGAAAGAGTTAAGGGGAAAATGAACAACTGACTGGAATAAAAATGTGAAAAATATTCCTGATTAAAATACAAGCATGCTGTAATTCCTTAAAACCTCACTAAACGGAGTGAAATTGCAGATATCAATTACTTATCCTGGTGGTTCATAAATATTGGCTTTTCTTTTGTTATTTTGGAGTTTTTGTTTTAAAGAATATAGCTCACAAAAAAAGCCTGTCCCAGATTGCCGCAAAATTAAAAAATTTTTTAATTAAAAAAGCAGCCCAAAAAAAAAAAAAAAAACAATGTGCAACATTATTACCTTTTTAGACCTGTATTTTATGTATCAAAATATTAAATAAATTGAAAATATCAAAGATAAATTTCACCTTATTGAGATATGAAACCGAAAATAATTCCTTTTGGTTAACTTGAATGACTTTTAGTCAAATATGATTATGTCCTTTTTTTTCTTTAAATGTCCATTTTATTCTAAATAGAAGTATTCACATTGCTCCCCACTGAACAGCAAATGATAAGTCTGAGTTAAAAAAATATAATATTACAAAAATAGAACTACTGTCTTTCAAGACTATATCTCGTGTGATGTATTCTTTAAGAGTGACTAATTTACAAGACATGATTATTTCAATTGCCACCAGTCCGCAATACACCAAATAAAGTTACTGCAGTCTAACATACATAAAGGGTGTACATTATTAAACAAATTTCTTTGTTTTTTTTATTGTATTCTGTCCAGTTATTTTGTAACTTGGAACATGACAAGTCTAAAGTTAATTGTTTTTGAAGCCAACAACTTGTTGCACTCCACTGAATCTATGGGAAGGTCCACATAGCCGGTCTCAGCATTCTCAGCAGTGAACTCAAAGCTGTAGATTTTAGACTTCATCTTGATGCCTCCGAATGGTCCACTCAAGGCAAGAAAGTACATATTCATCTAAAAAGTAAGATCAAGAAAACACCCGTCAATAATAATTCAGGGAAAATCATAAAAATGATTTTTTTTTTAAAGTATCTTTATTTTTTCTACTGTTTCTGTTAGTTAGTTGACAGATTTTCCTCACTGCCGATTAAAACATTAAATCCATAGGTGTTCCAATCTACTCCTTAGTAAATCTTGCAGTGCGTAGCGGCTGACAACACCAGTTCTGTGTTGGCTTCTCTTTATTCTTTGGCTTCCTGCATTTGCTCGTCTGGCCACATCTCTGTTAACAAGCTGCTCTTGCAGTCTGGTCATTGTTGCAGATTCACAGTCACTTGGTTGTTTCTTTACCAAGTAGAGCCACATGTGAAAAAGACACACCATTTAATTTTTGCAGCAGGCGATTTAAAAAAATAATGTTGTCCACACATACGGACAGCAATACGAGAGCTACACTGTGGAAAAGAGTGAAATATCACCATGTAATACTCTCACAGACAGCAACCAATTCACTGCAGCCAATCTCCACTGCAAAAGATTATACAGAAAACACAAACTATAAAGAATGTGATTACAATCTTTAAAAAAAAAAATTTTTTTTTACTTGATACAAATTCAAGAAACTTACAGGGGCAGTTAGCTTTGTCTTCACAACTAACTGATAAGACAGAGATCTGTTCACTGTGTGGGTTGGATTTTTCAGGTCAGAATTGATGTTTGCACGGACGACCCACTGCTGACTGAAGGCAGTGAAACGAGTTGTTTCGTAGTACAGCCGTGTGATAAAGTCATCTGTACGGAATGGCTTCAACTGCAGGTCTAGAAGGGAAAACAAAGATTCAGGGAATTAGCTATATGAAGTATATATAAGCATTAGTGAAAATATTAAATCCAATAATATATTCTATCCTGGGAATGAAAGGGAAAATGAAACTGCAATGCTCGCTTCCAAAAAAAAATGTTATGAGCCAGAATTAATTATTGACATCACAAATTGGATATCAGACTTTGGATTAAATTACATGACACTCAGGTATAAATTCAGCAGTCATATGCTTTTTTTGAATTGCTGAGCTTATTATGTGCTCATCAAAAAAAAAATATAATTTCTTCACAGCTCTACTTCAAAGAGTGACACCATTATACACATCTGGCTTATCTGTTTCCACCTTAAAGAGGTAGAGGAGCTTGAGTATTCTAGTGACCCCAAGAGCTATGCCGACGGTAGCTTAGCTACTGGTAGGGTGTCCCATGTTTGACAGGTCAAAGGAGGGGAACCAGACAAAGAGAGTTGCCAAAATTTCATGATGCCACAAATTCAAATGTATCAATATGGTGCCATTCTCCTGGAGCCCTGCCAGACAGATTTTGCTATGGAATCTCCTCTTGCTTTGTGTATTTCTGATCTGTACATGTTCATCTACTCCATTTCTGCCTTCATTGCTATCTAAATAGGTGTCTCATTACAGCAGGGTGAAAGTAGGGTTTCAACAAAGAATACTGTTACTGTCTGCTTAATTTTCCCCACATGAGTTCCGGCGCCCCATCCATTGAGGAAAAAAAAAAAGGGGGGGGGGGGGGGAACCACTGCCTTCCTTTTCCCCTTTTTAGCATGTCTTTCAAGATTACTAATTATCTATGTAATAGGCCACATTAGCGCAGTCAATAGGAGACTCACTTTCAAATCCAGATGTGACTCGCTGCAGTCCATGGCCGCTGTTCTAAACCGGGTGGTTCCCGGGGTTCACCCAGCCTCTAGGTAATGGGTACCAGAGTTAACACTCTGGGGTAAATGGAGGAATGTCGCTGTAGCTACACAGTTACGTGTGGACAGCGACACAGGCGGGCAGTTTCTTTTCAGCTGTCCCTACTGGTGGCAGAGCTTATGATTTATAACCTTGTGCAATGATGCTGGTTCACATCTCCTGACTTTACCTTTTTATCTTATTACGTGAGTTTTCTTCAAAGCTGAAATGCATCTGCCTGAGAGGCCAGGAACCAGCACTCTGCATACAAAAAAGCTAGATCTGTAAAATGGATGTCCACACAAAACTCAAATTCAGGAACAAGACCACAACTTATAGAAGTGGGCGAACAACCAGAACTTTCCAGCCGGGAATGCAAAGACGAAGAAGAAGTCTGCCTGATTTATTCTCATGAATTTGTAGACCTAATTGTTGTGAAACAATAGCGGTCTTACCATTGAATGTAATCTTCTCAAATGACAACAGAGCAAAGATATCGCTGTAGAGCTTCTGTTCCTCCTGCTTCTGAACATCAATGACCTCAAGGGAGCTCATCACCTCCTCTCCAGTTTTCCTGGGATGAATACAGTTCCTTTCATGCTCTGCCACTTCATGAAAGGGACCCTCCCAGTGGCAGCCGATGCGAGCATATCTGCATGAGCAGGGCCTGTAATGCATTATGAATGGAATTCATTTCTTCTGTTCCTCTGGCAGTTAATAAAGTAAATATTGTCATACTTACAGCATCTGTAGAGCTGCAGCTTTCACAACAAAATGCTATGATAAGCTTCTTAATGAAGTTTTCATACCAAAATGTTAGTGAAAGTCTTCTAGCTGAAATGATCACAACGGCTGGATGATCGGGCTGGATTTTTACTAAAGCTCACCTGAAAAAAATAACTAGATGGAAATGCAAGACACAAAAAAAAAAAAAATTACTTAAAAAAAAATCATATAGCATTTACTTATTTGCAGCTGCTATATCATCAGATTCTAGAATTCTTACCAGCTAAAGGTATGATATTCTCTGGATAACCCAGAGGGGCAAATTAGCTTAATTCGCAGTTATTCTGCAGTGCTTTTCATATAAATATACAGGACATAAAACTTTCCAGAAGCCATTTCCAGTTTCATTATGATGGCATATACAACAATGTAGTATGACCAGCGAGGAAGCTTTTATTTTGGGTACAATGACGTTCTAAAAACAGCAACATTTCTTTGTGTTATTCCCAGGCAAAAAGCAGTTATGCCTCTGTAAAATAAAGTCATGCATGACTTTTTTTAATGCTTCTGCCGGCATCTGTAAAGAATGATAAATATTAGGACAACAATATTATCCAGTGAAGTACATACTTCAGAAATGGCTAACTTTTAACCTAAGCTATATTATTGTTGTCTGAGGTAATGTCTTAGAAATATTGCCAAATGGTGTCAAATTCTATTGAACCTCACATGCGGTAGATCACAACTTTACTATGCAATAATACTGATTCTCTTTGTACTGTATTTGAGATCAATATTGGTGTATTCATTAAATTCGAGCTCAATAAGTCTTAGTGCATGAGAAAAAAACAGGAAAAGTAGGTATCATTTTTAAAGTTAGTAATGATATTGTAAGCAGCTTTGAAATAAACATACTCCAAACATGGCATACTAATGTGTGGAAAAAGATTTCACGTAAGCTAAGCAGTTCTGCTTAAAATAGAACACAAGTGTTGCTGTAGCTCAGTGATCAACTACAATAGACCACTAATTTCCCCCCAATAACAAGGAGTCTCCTTTGCGAAGTGTTCACATCATTTGCCCCCACCCTTACAGAGTCCTGAATATATTTTCAGATTGCACAAACTGGTTCACAGAGCAACTGTTTCTCAGATCTCTCGGGTTGTCGCTGAGGATGTGGGTTACATGTTTTTTGTGTGTGCGTGAGGCGATCTGTTGAGAAAAACCAAGGCTAGTGGGATCAAACCTGGTGGTTCTTGTCTGTCAGATGTGCATCTCATGTTTTGCTGTGCCTATCTTCAGCGATCTCTGGTCATGCGCATAATCCACTATTGGTCATAAGCTGGGATGTCTTTTCAAAGTCTCTTAGGTTTCCCCAAAGCTTAGTTGTCAGTTCTACTGGGTGTTGCCATATGTTGCTCTGCAGCTCCGCCAGGAGAGGACAGTCTTGCAGGACATGTTCTGGAGTCTGTTCAGCATGAAGGCACTGGCCGAGAGCTGTTTGGCTCATACCTAATTTATATGAGTGTTTATTGAGTCTGCAGTGTCCAGTACGTAAGCGAAAAACTGTGACTTGGTCTGTTCTGTTCAAGTGTTTCAGAAAATCTTTTTCGTAGTTATAACCAGTGTTGGTTTTCCAATCTGTTTCTGGTGCCTATCTTTACTCCCAATTTTCACCTTCTTAGCAGTGATGTGTACATGCTGCTCCTAAATTCCTCCAAACATTCTAGCTCTCTAAGGGCATTAACAACGTCAGCATGATCCATAGGCCGGCCGTCTGCAACTAAGGCACAATTTGCCACTCTATCCCTTTGACCTCCCCTTGGTCTTTTCCCATCAGGCTGCCAGTTCATCACAACAGAAATCATGTCAGGACTGTTTTATGGATTCTTCTTCTTCAGCATTACGGGAACTTGAGGTTCATTGTTGCAGATATCAAGCGCTTCCATTCATCTCTCTTGCTGGCCTTCTATTTCACAGTTGGTGTCACCAAGTGTTTGCAGGTCTGCCTGGAGACATTATCTCCCCATCGTCTTCTTGGTCTGCCTCCTGGTCTACGACCATTCATCTCCCTTGTGTATACAGCTTTTACTTCTCTGTCATCTGACATTCTTTCAATATACCACAACCATTTCAGTCTATTAGCTCTCATGATGCCAGTGATCAAAAGTGATTTAAACAGATTATGAATTTCGTTGTTGCATCTCACTGTCCATTCCCTTTATCCTGTTTTATGGATACCTCTCCTATTGTTTTATGGATGTCTCCATAGGAGAGTTTTGGTATTCAATGTCTCTTCATCTCTTATGAAGGTTAATGTAAAAGCTGATTCCACAGTAGTCATCAATAAAAACTGTGGTTGGCACAGACAGCAGATTTCATGCAAAGTACACAACTAGGAGATGTAATGTGCACCCATTTCTTGCTGCTATCTTCCCTAAAATGTTGACCATATTAAACACCCAGTGCTGATTGGTCTATCCAAATATGAGTATTCCCAACGCACAACTGGCATAAAGGGTCCTTTGATTACTTTACTATCTTTCCTAAATCAGCTTGATGCAAATGAAAAAAAATCCCCCCCCCCCCCCCTAAAATACTGATATCATTTCACTTTAATGCATTTAATTATTTTTCCATTTCTTTCATACTTTCCTTAACACCTGTATATATTTCTAATTATTCATAAGATCTAATACAGTTCTACATACAGCCAAGTTTACAGAGTCTTATATGGGACATAAAATAGCTTGATATATTTATTTATATCTGATACGGTTAACATATGTATCCTGATATTTCATGCAGTTTTTGGCATTAACATGTCTATCATGCTTCTTTTTTTTTTTAATCTTCTTCCTCTTCTTCTTTCGTTCACTTGAAATAAATTACCTATATCTGCAATGTTGTCTCTAGGATGAACTTCACTATTTTTTAACATCTACTACTTTAAAAAAATTATTCTATAACCATTTAATGAAACTGTTCAACTGGTCTGAAATCAATACATTTATTTTGTTTAAAACTGTTTTCTGATCTTCTTTATCATCTACTCCTACCTTTTTTTTTTACATTCCGTCTTTTTCCAGTTTTATTATTGAAAACATGAGGTCCTTCATATTAATTTCATATGATTGATGATAACATACAGGGAAAGATCTTGGAGATTCTCGATAAATCTTTTCCTCTTGAATCAATTTACAGTGAATTACTCTGGGTACATTTACTTATTTATTTACCAATAACATTTTTATGAAGTTGGATTATCAAAACACTTAATAACCACCAATATCTAATTTTCCAGGACATCTGATTCATATAATTTTTACACTGACAACGAAATGCATTTTTCAAAAATACATACACTGATATTTTAAAAACATTCAGTAGATGAAAATTAATGTTTCTATTTATTGACCACTGAATGTTGACGATAGAAAGAAAGTCTTCTTCCTCTTTTGCCTTTCATCTCCTAATGAAGCTTAGGCCCTCAACCAACTTAAGCCAAGCTTAATTTGTTATTGTTTGGATTTTGTAATTAAGGTTTCCTAGGGTTGAGTCGAGAGTTTCATGCCAACCCTCCCTGGTCACTGCTTATGACAAAAGTGACAAGTTACAGGGTTACTATTCGCCGCTTCTATGGGCTTCAGTAAAATAATATAGGGAACAAGAGAGTTAAAAAAAAATTTATTACAAGATTCACTATTTTTTTTAAACGATGCAAATTTAACTTAAGGTAATGATAAAACTAAACTCCACTGTTAATATAAATTACTGCTGTAACTTAGCCATAACATGTATCTTTTTTACATATGAAATACCTTCATGTCACCCATTATGCCATCCCTTAAGAGCCCAACCATACACCATTTATACTATGTGCACTTGCTATATGAGACCAGCTTCAATTACAGGTGCTCATCATTCACTCGCTGCCCCTACAAATCATTTAAGACCCATGACAAAGAGAGAAAGATACTTGCCGCTTAAAAATCAACAGCAGAGGAACTGTTGCAAAAGTGAACAGACACGCCTGGCAGGGTAAACAAGCGACTCCTTTTGGACAGTCTCAGCTTTGTTCATCAACCAGGTACACATCAGCTATCCTGAAATTCCATCTTCAAAGAAAACCTGCCTGCTAAAACAATAGAAAGAAACAAAACAAGTGTGGATTTGATTAGCAAGACATAGCTCAGTGGTCTGCTTGTCAAACACCGGTACAAATAAACCTAGCTAAGAATGATGAAAACCCTGCCATGCCACCGGCACTCACATGTCTGGAACTGCCCCCCATCAAACATGTGTGTGCCCTGGCACTGGCAGCCTATCTAGGACTCAGCAGACCACTGATAAAATACGGCCTGCAGAGAGAGAAAGATGACCATAAAAGAGGGTTAGGCAGGGCTGCTTACCCATGTGTGACCTTCTTACCTCTCCTGACACTGCTCCTTCTGATGATAGTCCAGCTGGTAGCGTGGCAGGTTCTGGTTACAGAAGGCGCAGTCAGATGGAAGTTCTGATACTGCTTTCTCCACAGCGAGGTTGCGAATGCAGATTGTCCTGTTGATTTCAGTTCGGCAGTTTGGACAAGTTGCTGTTTCATCTTTAATGCGTGCGTCTGCTAGCAGGTGATTGAAACAGCCGGCACACATTAGATGTCCATTGCTGCACTGAAGACCGAAATCAAATAAAAATTACTCAATCCAGCTAAGCATATTTACTCTTCTGAAGAAAATATTAACTATGAAAAGTCAATGAAAAAAAAAAAAATTGGTTAACACAGTTCCTTCTTATATCCTTAATTAACCAACACAGTATAGGTCATTGTTTGCTACCCACCCAATTTCCTTCCTATTTTTTTTATCTTATTCTAAATTTCTCTTCTCCATGTGCTTTTTTTTTTTTTAAATCTGCTTTTATTCCTTCATTCATGTGAGTTATAGTGCAAGGAAATTCTGGTAATACTGCTGTCAGGTCGTCTCCACTGCTGTCTATGCAACACCAGGATCTTTTCTTCATCAAAAGATTCCCTGGAATTTATAAAGTTGTCTCCCAAAGCTCCATATCAGTGCATCTGTCATACCATTTTATTCTCTATATTCTGCTCAGGCTGTGAACAGAAAGGGCTGTGAACTTAAAAGGTCTGTTCTCCCTCCTTTCTTGATCCTTCATGCTTGCAAAGTTCTTTAGAAAAGATTAAAACCATCCTAGACGACCAACATATGGTTATTCTGAATTCAGTCTCCAGTAGGGGCAGAAATGAATTATTTCCAACAAGTTTATCTACAAGGGCTGCTTAACTGGCAGCAGGCTGGCTGAATCTGGCCTACTGAGGCCAAAATAATATCCCGCAGATCACTTTCAATTGTATTGTATTATTGTTCATTTAAAGATCATCTTCATCGCATATGGGTCATGACATAAGTGCTCCGACCTCCCCCTGAGTATGTCTCCAAGTATGACACTTGACGCTTACACAGGAGAATCTCAGCGCTATGCATGTAGCATTGGCAAGGATGCTGCATGTTGTATTCATGATATGGGTAAGCTGGGTTCAGGCCTATGGCCCATGGTGAACCTCATTTTCAACATTCTGGTCCCTGGGTAAACTTAGTTTAACAGCCCTAATCTTCAGGGTCAATCGAACCTAAGGAAATGTTACTGGATAGTTTTTTTAGAATGTTCCGTGGTGGAACAGTCAATTTTATTACAAGAACTCATCTTTTAGTGTAAATCAGGGAAGCGACCACAAGAAGAAGTCACCTCACCTTACTGCAACCTAGTTCGGGTAAAAGTGTAACAATTCTTCCTACCGATGAAACAGTATCTCACTGGCACCTTTCTATCTTTCCAGACGACAGTGTTATATTGTGCTATGAGGAGGCATGGGATGGTGATTGTCTGAGACCAATTAAAGCCAGGGATAAAGTTCCTCCTCTCCACAGCACAAAGCCAGGGCAGTATTGTAGCAAGTGTCTAGCCACTTCACCATAAACCAGGCAAGCATTAGACACTGTAGTGAGTGTCTAGCCACTTCACCATGACAGCTCCCAGGCAAGCATTAGACATTGTAGCAAGCATCTAGTCGCTTCACCATGACAGCTCCCAGGCAAGCATTAGACATTGTAGCGAGTTTCTAGCCACTTCCCCATGACAGCTCCCAGGCAAGCATTAGACATTGTAGCAAGTGTCTAGCCACTTCACCATGACAGCTCCCAGGCAAGCATTAGACATTGTAGCAAGCATCTAGCCACTTCACCATGACAGCTCCCAGGCAAGCATTAGACATTGTAGCAAGTGTCTAGCCACTTCACCATGACAGCTCCCAGGCAAGCATTAGACATTGTAGCAAGCATCTAGCCACTTCACCATGACAGCTCCCAGGCAAGCATTAGACATGAGCATTATTTTTAAAATTTAAAGAATTACAAGGCACAAAATAGGATAGAAACACTGTGGAGGAGACAGTTAAAGATCTGTGATTCAAGACATTTTGTTTTAGGTAACTTTTATTAAGTGTCAGAATGTGTGTATTCACACGGTATTGTCATGTGTCAAATGTTTTTGTCTGTATTATTTACAAAGCGTTGCCATATGGAAGTGTGAAGTGACATGTGCAATCATCTACAACATAAAACAAATATTTCATGACAATATAACAAAAACTGTAGATAATATACAAAACTGGGTTCTGTCCTTTAAATTCACCCCATCTTGGGACTCCTGAGATTCGCGGGGAGTGACTGGGAAAGTCCAACCGTATAGGGGTGTTAGGGTGTAAAATAAACATAAACTAATACTAACCCAAATTCCCCCCTCCCCTCCAATACTAGACACTCCCAGGAACTCTTCACAAAATCTTGAGTCCCTGAGATAGGGTGGAAAAAAAAGTATCTAAAACTTAGAGGACCTGAATATTGAAAGTAAGAAAAAGGCCTCAGTAAAAAGGTAACAATGAAAAAGGTGTTTCGACTAAGGCGTCAGAGGTTATGATGTTAGATAGACATGACTCCCTCGCTTGGGAAATGGTCAGTCACTCCAGTTGATGAAAGGACATGGTGAGAAGGTGTTGAATTCCAAGGACAGGTTATAAGAGGCTGTGGTTTGAAGCGAATACATCAAAAAGACTGAATACACTCAAAATATAACAATGTTACAAATGTATAAATGATGGTAATAATGATGACAGCTAACTCTCTGTCCCTCTTGAATTAGAACATGTAAAGAAGGAGAGAGTGGATGTTTGATATGCCCTGGTTACCAAATACAATCACTCCTGAAGGAGTGAAAACAACTGTAGAACAAACACATTATTTCCAAAGGGTACAAATTGGGCATTCCGACCCATCTTACATTCAGCCCTTTTAAGTATTCATCTTTCATATGGCGATTGTATTTTAGAACAAATACCACATGACAAACACCAATCACTCTGTTTTGGTCATTATGCAGGGCCACAAAAACCAACCACTTTTATGTGGGTGTTCTACATATGATGTAATTTACAAATAAACATCAAATTACAGAAAGGTGTGTGGCAATGAGAAAATATGATTCATACTTCTGGTATATAAACAGCTGTTTTCACCCCATATGTGCCCTGAAAATATCTAAGGTTATGTTTCCTAGTCAAGGAATATCCCATGATTGTGTTTACTAACCCTATCCAATCCCACAACCAACAAAGAAGGTTTTACCCTGGTGTGAACTAGATGACCTAAAACTTTTTGGACTGCTGCCAGCGATCATCAATGTACTCTTTGTTATGTTATTGGCCTTTTCCTTGTTCTTTGTAACATTTAAATATTACATATGTGTATATCTAGAAAAAAAAGTGTGTAGAGTTATCACGGTTATGCAGCTGCTGAATTAATTTCAACTTATTTGTTGTCAAAATGGTTCCAAATGCGGTAATCACCAGGCCGAGAAGGACGGAGAGAGCGTTAGCTACTACTGAGATGCCCTCCCTACGTGACCCTTTCGACTGGGTAGGCTCGGGACTTCAGCCTAGATTTAAGTCAAAGTCGACTAAGTGCAGTAAACAGCTAAACTAGAGAAATGCAAAACATTTTAACACTGACTATTCCTACACGGTTACGGTTACGTACACACAATAATCATTAAAATAATGCATATGCATTATAAAATATCTGCAGCTGAAAATTAAAACAAAGACAGGCTGACGAGGAACGTTTCCAATGCCACATCACAAGATCGAGAACGAACCAACTACACTCTACAACTTCACTACCAGTCAGTTGTGGTCTCAGCTTCTTACCTGATAGCAACAATTCGGAAGGTCTAAACATACTGCACAGCAAAGTATACCGCTTAAACGATCCTCAAGTTTTGACTTCCCTTCCGAGAAAGCATCTGTTAATTTAATTTTTTTAGTTGGAGGCTCGAACGATGACAAGTTTTCCTTATCCGCTGAGGATTCGCGAAGCACCTGTACCGTCGAGTTACAACTTTCCTCCATTTTGTTTGTTTGTAAATTCACAATGACGAAATCTAATCTGGTTCTACTGACGTCACTGCCGACCAATCACATGCTCGGCTTTCGGTTCCGATGATAAACGAACGGTTGGAATGTATTACGGATTGTGCCGAGATTTAATGAGCTGGAAATGGGCGTCGCCCTCTAGCACGACAGGACTACGTGAACACTTTGTCCTATTGCCTTTTATGCCCTGAAAATCCAGACAGCTGCCTTCAGTCGATGGTGCTACAAGAACGTGCACTTTTGATCACAATGCAGTTGATAAAATATTGCATTAAATAAAACTGCCAGAGAAGCTGCTTAAGTTAATTTATTTTTAAAACACTGTTGCTGCTGGTGTAAAGATAACCTACAGCAGCAGAACTACAAACACTTGGAAGTCTCTTCTTCTTCTTCGCGTTCACCAGCTTTAGACTCTGGCGGAAAGTTCTTGTTGCTCGTCCACTTAACTGCAGTCCTGCTCCAGAACCTGAGTGTTACGTGTGCGTCAGTTTTACATATCTCATTCTCTTGAATACAGACTGTTGGTTCCTTGCCTCTCCGGCAGATGCACTCCGACTTCAATGGAAGCTCCCCAATTAGTCGACTCATACGACATGCTTTTGGGGAGACAGTGGGTCTATTCTTGTTTTCCCCACAATGGGGCCCCGGAACCCACACAGGGGACACTTGGAAGTGATCATATAGAAGTTCAAATGAAGTGGTTAGTTAGGTTAGTTGTGTATCCCTTACAAGGCGTTGCAGAACCAACGTGTGGTTTTTCTAGGCAAAATTACGTCCAGTAGTTTGCCATTGCCCCCTAGACGGTCGGCTTTTTTATACCACTGTCGAAACCAACGTAAGGCCCGCAGCTGGGATCAAACCCAGCATCCCTGCATTACGAAGCGTTCGCATAGACTTAACCACAGAGCCGTCTGAACAGGTTAGGTACGTATCCTTTACAGGACGTTGCAGAACGAACCCCAGCAGCCCCTGGCTTTTGTGTGGTTTCTCTAGGCAAATTTACGTCCGGTTGTTAGCCATTTGAAGAGGTTAGTAAAGGCCAGTAATATCTGCAGCAATGAACTAAACCTCTTCAGCTCAGAATGATGAAGAGAAGAAGAAGAAGACATTTCCTGTAGTTAGCAACATAGTTCTGGCTTATGATTCTTGTTATTATTATCCTCATCATCATCATCGTCATCATGATCAGGAAATTGGTAGGGTGACTATACATCCCGTTTTAATCGAGACAATCTGGTTTTTTTTAAAGGGGGGGGGGGGGGGTGGGGGAGGGGGAGGGGGGGGGGGGCGACCTGCCATCAGTACTCCAAAAACCATAAATTGGCCCGTTTTATACAAATCAAGAAATAAGCTAGAGAGTTCAGCCTACACTTACACTTATATCTGTAGACCCCATTTGATTTTATAGTTTTAGATGCCTTTAATGCCTTATGGCAGCGGTTCTCAACTTGTGTGTCGTGGCACCCAGGGGTGCTGCGAGCGTATGCCAGGGGTGCCGCTAGCGTATGCCAGGGGTTCCGCGAGCGTATGCCAGGGGTGTAGTGAGCGTATGCCAGGGGTGTCGCTAGCGTATGCCAGGGGTGCCGTGAGCGTATGCCAGGGGTGCAATAATCAATACTTTAAAAAAAATCTGCTTGAGATCTGCGAAGACAGCAGTTTAAAACAGAAATACCACGAAGGAAGCCAAGAAGAGTTTAGATGCAGATGTATTCAGAAAACAATGCTATTTTTTTTTCTTTATTGAAAAAAAAAAAAAAAAAAAGAAACAGATACAGGAGCAACCTTTAAGTGATTTGAGGGTACAATTACCTATCTTCCCATAAACATAACGGAAATAATGAAAAATTCATCCAGTTTCATTCATCGCATTAAAGACAAGTGACCATTATATTTGCTGTGGCCCCCCCCCCCCCCCCTTTCTTTTCATAAATATTCAAACCGCTCTGAGGTAAGGTGTGCCGCGAAATCTTTTTTGCCCGACAAGGGTCCCGGGGCGAAAAAAATTTGAGAAACGCTGCCTTATAGGAATGTCTTGAGTACTGTGATGACGATTTTAAATTCAACATTCAACATGCTATTGTCTACCGCTGCTTTGGGGAAGCCAGAGAGTACCGATGACATAAAATTTTAAAAGCTCTTTAATGTCCACCACTGTTTTCAACACATGACTGTACACGTCTCTACATATTATCAGATACCCCATGCAACGTGTCTGTTTTTATTTCTTTACCGATAATCCTGATTGTTTCCGTTGATAACGCCATTTTGAGTGCAAAAAAACACCCAACGGAGAAGAGCTGTTGTGCCTTTAGTATAGTAATGTTGTGATGGACGGGTTTGGCGCCAGCCGAAAGATAGTTGTCATTTTTTATTTCTTCTTAACGACGATAGGCATAGAATCTCTCAATGGATATAATGGCTAACGCCATAAAATCAGTAGTATCACTGACAAGTGGGAAGAATGGAATATCCCTTCCTTATTGATTCCCGACTGAAGAGGCTAGTCAGCCTTGACTATCCTCTCTTCTTAGAGACGAATCTGTAAACGTGAAACCTCCGTTGCCTTAAAAATATACACACACATGAGAAAGGCTTCGGGAGTAAACTCCGAGAACAAATCCAGCGATGAAGTCCCTTTAGCTAAGGTAGTTCTTTGTTGTAAAGATCATGGTTCTGGTAACACATGCGACGGCCTTGATACCAAGTTGTATTTCAATCAGTCAGTTTCCGTAAAGGTTGGCTGCAATGGATCTCCAACACGGTCTGTCTCCAGTGCCCGATAGGCCCGATAGGCACCTTCCCGGGGGCATCACAAGCATATGAAGCCTACGAACCCAAGCTGTTATGTGAATGTTAAGGGACTATCCGTATAAGAAGTTCTTAGTCATTTCATACCATGCCATTTAATCCGTGTTTATGTTTTAACAATAGTTTTATTGAAGTGACAATGGAACTCTGAACCATATTTTATAGCTACAGGACTACCACAGGGATCTGCAATATTACTTGAACTATTCAATGTTTTAACGAGCAAGATTGCACACCTGGAGTTAGCAGAATATTGACATTTGCAGATGATGTTTTCGTATATAGGAAAAAGGGGGGGGGGGGGGGGGGAGATCGGAATCAAATAGCTGAAGAGTTACAGGCGACAGTAGATAAGGTGGTCGACTGGTGTACAAAGATAAGGGCTGTAGTCAACCCAGAAAAAGCAACAGTACTGTGGTGTTCTTTGGACAACAAGATTGTTAGAGCTGACGTTTCCAGTCTCAAAATAAATAAATAAAGGTGCTGCATGCTAAGACATACTTCAGAGTAGCTGCAGACAAAGAACACCTCCTGTATGAAGCTTTGGCTGCAGGTAAGGGTCAGTTGCTGAGAAGGAGAAAATCATAATAAGACAAGTATGCATGCTAGAGAACATTGGGCGAGGAGAGGAGTGGGTCAGAGTACCATAGGAACAGTCTGACCTGTGTAGGGTTATGATCACATTGGGCCGGGAGTGCAGAGTGTGGTCAGTGGGTGCTACTGAGGTGGAAATCCAAAGGTTAATTCGCGACAATTCACGCCCAGGTGATCTGATTTTCTATACAGATGTTTCGGTGTTGAGAGCAAAGAGAAGTGCCTTGGGTTTCGTAGCAACGGTCAATGGAAAAATCTTAGTGCAAGACAGCCTAGCATACGACACCACAACATCTAGCATGAGAATGGAGGTAGAGGCGGTAACTGCAGCTCTGCGGTGGTTAAAGAACAAGATGCATACACATGTCGTAATTGTACCAGACTCTGAAAGCATGCTGAAAAAGGTGAAGACAGGGATGCCTCGAGCAGAGTGGCAAGCCTTACTGGAAAGGTCACAGGTAGTAGGCATACTTTGGATCTTTTCTCCAGGTCATGCCGGCGTGGTGGGTAATGAACAGGCAGACAGACTGGCTGGATCTGCACAACTGGGTGGTGAATTGATACATGACAAGGCAGATGTGGTCAAGGCCCTTTGGGATAAAGCAACGTAATCAGTAGAAAAACAGGATTATTATGGCCCAGAGAGAATGAAGCACCTGGGTATAGCCAGACCAGAGAATGTGGCCGGCTCACTACACTCAGAGGAAAGGCAATACGGGAATATAACCAGATTCTGACCGGTAACATCAGTATTGAAACTCTGCGCTGGCTACTGAAGACGAGGACGGAGCACGAATGGGAATGCCCCGAGTGCTGTGATGTCAGTTCTTACTCAACTCAAAACTCAACATTTGGGCTTGTTCTGAATGATGGGATTTCTAATCTTTACCCAGATAATCCCAAACTGTTGATGTCCACCTACTTAATTCGTTGTCTGCCTTTTGCTATCTTGCCCCAGACTCTTCCCTCCAGTATAGTTATTAAAATATTGAATTTTAATGTGGCAAAAATATTTCATTTGCCTCTTTAAAAAAAAAACTTTTTTTTAGAAATTATCTTTTCATTCGCAGTCTTTCCAGAACCGCAGTATTTGATACGTTTTGTTTCGTTTCCACGACATATTTTTCTGTATATCCACATTTACTAAGTCTATTTGCTTCTATCTTTCTCTTGGGACTTGGCAACAGCCACAGGACAACAGCTGGTTTTCCACATTATACTGGCCAAGCCTGTGCTCTAGTGCTGCAGGACCTTCCTCGCCTTACAGATGCAGAAACTATTTTGTCACTAGTAGCTCTGTCAGGCTCATGCCCAGTTCTGTAGTCACGCAGGACCTAACGAAACCTGCTATTACTATTAGAGTGACTATAATACCTTGAGCTGAAAACGAGACATCCAACTAATATTTTTACCTGAAAATGGGACACCCCAAGCAAGTCAGTTTAACCCCACCCCCATTTTTTTTTCTAGATTACCAGGCTGCAAGGAATTAGTGACCATAATATCTTGAGCTGAAAACGGGACATCCAACTAATAGTTTTGTCTGAAATTACAAAATCACAAGCAAGTCAGTTTAACTTCACTTCTATTTTTGTCCAGGTCACCAGGCTAAAAGGGTTAATTGCTCGCTCAGCAATCGGGTTAACAGTACAGTAGAACCTCGCTTAACGAGCACCTCTCATAACGAGTAATTCGCATAACGAGCAAAAAAAAAATGACTTGCTTAACGAGCGACGTTTCGCATAACGAGTGGCGAGGAGAGGGGAAGTCCCGGGTTGTACGCATGTTACATCAGTCTGTGTTTAGCAATCGTTTCACTAGCATCGTAGTATCGCTTGTGATCACACATTTTCTCAAACTTGTGTTACATTGTGATACATGTACATAAATCCTCAAGGCCTAAAAGATGACCTCTCTGAAGAATTTAAGTTCATCAAGATCCAGTTTCTGCCTCCCAACACCACGCCGTTACTTAAGCCCATGGACCAGCAAGTTATTTCTAACTTTAAGAAGCTCTACGCTAAAGCACTCTTCGAGGATTGTTTTCAGATGACTGAAGGGACCAACCTCACTCTCAAAGATTTTTGGAAAAATCACTTCCTCATCGTTGCCTGCCTCAAGATGATCGACAAGGCGAGGGAAGGGGCTACCAAGAAAACCCTAACTTCTGCCTGGAAGAAGCTTTGGCCGGAGGGCGTTGTCGATTTGTACCTGTCGAACCTGTAGTCAACGAGATTGTGTCTTTGGCCACTATCATGGGATTGTAGGTGGATAACAGTGATATCGAAGAGCTTGTGGAAGAGCACAGCCAAGAGCTGACCACCCAAGAGCTTATGGAGTTGCTTTGTGTTTCACAGCAAGAAGTTTTGGAGGTAAGTTTGTCAGAGGAGGAGGAGAAGGTAACAGAAAAGCAACAATCTTCTGGCGAAATAAGAGAAATGCTGAAAGCATGGCAAAATTTTGCATCTTACATTGAGAAACATCACCCTATTTAGGTAGGGGCTATGCGCGTTGCAAATTTATTTAATGATAATGATGTGGCGCATTTTCGCCAAATTTTGAAGCGTCAGCAAAACCAAATGTCTCTGGATAACTTTCTAGCAAAAAAAAAAAAAAAAATTAGCTATGTACTAGCTATGTAATTATTTCGACCCCCCACCCTCCCCACCTGCAAATCGAATTCGCATTCCAGGTGGGTTCGTTCCGCGTTTGAAGAAAAGATGAAGATGATTCACAATATGTATATAATTTTCTTTGAATAAACGTTATACAAAGCATTTGTGAGTATTTTTTTTTTTTTTTTGACATGGAACCCATTATCGTATTTTAGATTAGTTTATATGAGAAAAATTGTTTCGCATAACGAGTGTTTCGCTTAACGAGTATGATTCTTGAACAAATTATGCTCGTTAAGCGAGGTTCCACTGTATTTGTTGTTAGTGTATGATCTATTCTTGATCTAATTCATACATTTTTTTTAAAAACTGTACAATTGGGTTTTGTGGGAGGGTTGGGAGGGGGGGGGGGGTGCTAGGACACACCTAAAGAAGCGAGTCTGCCCCGGTGAGATACTGAGATATCAAACCGAACGAAAATTCGATCAGCGAGCTTCACAATATAACAAACGGGGCGTATGATCACCTCATTTTCTATAGTGTACTAACGTTTACCCGGTACAGTCTGACAGTTGTCATTTAGTTCAGCGTATATTTATCACCCAGTTCAATAAGAGTTATCAGCCAGTAACAGAGCACCGGGGTATTCCCATTTTTGCGCGCTCCCCATCTTCAGCAGCAGGAGGTGCCAATAGCATTTTTTAAAAATGTTTAATGACTTTTATTAGAAATATTAAGACAACAACTTTTAATGAACTTTTATTAGGAATATTAAGACAACTTTTAATGATTTCCATTAGGAATATTAAGAAAACTAAAATTATATTACAATCATGTTACAACAATGAGTTTTCTTTCTTGCTACATCAATAACTATTGAACACCTATTTGCAATTTGTACAGTTGAAAATCAGTTTAAACAAAAATTTTAACCCAACTTTATGAGGTGGTTATTTTGGTGCAATTTAAAAACTATGAAAACTAAATACATTATTTAACAGTTTTTCCTATTCATTGACGTCGAGTGCTAAGTGTTCATAATCCTAAGTTTGTGACTAAAAACAGCTAGATTGATTTTATCCTAACAAAATTCCCACCCCATTCCCAATTATACCTGCCAGCCAACATTCTACAGCAAGCGTGCACAACACCATCCAGTCTCAACACAACTACAGTGTACGACGATGACTTCTATTAGTCACAATATCATGACAAAATGACAGGAGGCCGTTCTTTTCAGTAGTTGCCCGATGCTGTACGTGAGTAAGGGTGCGATCTAGCCTGACCTCTGGAGGAACCCCTCGATGGGGCAGCAGATGTTTTCTCACCACTTGACCAGCCATCACCATAGTCATAACCTGAATACGATTCATAGCCTGCAGCAGAGCCTGAGTTAGGAGCACCATAGTCATAATATGCTTCTTGTCCATAGCCTTCATCATATGATGATTCATAATCAGATCCGTAGCCCTGAGAACTGTAGCCTTCATATGAAGCTGGTGGAGGAGCGGCCCTAGCTCCTCGAGCTGAGGGTGTGCCACGTCCAGCAGGACCTCCTCAGGGTGCTCCTCTTGGACTTCTAGTCGGTGGGGCGCCTCTTCCACCAGGAGGAGGTGCAGGTACAGGTCCATTTCCGTGTCCTCTGAAGCCACCGCGACCACCTCTGTCTGGAGGTCCACCTCTGTAACCGCCTCTTCCTCTAACCGGAGGACCATCCATTCCCATTTCTGCGCCACCAGGACCGCCATATGCGTCTTCCGTCAATTCAGGGATGACAAATTTCTTGAGTTCGGTCAAGGCTGCTGCAAGTCTGTAATAACCATCCGTCAGTTCTGTATAGCACTCTACCAACACATGGAGCTCCTCGCTGAGATGTGCGTATTTGCCTCCTTCTTTCCTCAGTTCTTCCTCCTTCTCTTTATCTCTCATTGATCCTCTGCCCATGATGGCCATTTTACAGCCAGTTTGATTTTGAAGTGCTCTGAGAGTCTGTCCTTTTGGTCCAAGCAATTCGCCAACGAAATTATATCTAGGATATTCTTTGGTGGGAAGTCTGATTTTCACAGACTGACTTTCTACCCCACCAGGACATCACACAAGTGATAAACACCCGATGACACAAAGTGCCACCATGCGGATGAGGATCACCGTGGAGAGGTCCCAGAAACCGCGTTCAGACAATTGGCCATATTGATGGCCTGCCTATATTGCGGCCCCTGGCAAAAGCCAGAGTGGGGCTTCAAATAACAAAAAATTACGTCTTAAGAAGGACGTAAGGAATATGTTTTGATTTTTACAGGCAATTTCTGGGGTCGATCATGGTAAATGTCATACATGGAAACTGGTGGGCGGTCTTTCTTGTCATCTCCACCTTTACTGAGCCGATCAATTTCCTGTGCAAGTAATCTACTTGCATGCGCGTTTGGATCAGTGTGTTTGAACTCATTTTCCAGCTCTTCACTGTATGTGCCTTTCTGCGCCATGTTCTCACTTTTCATGATGTCTGCTCTTTTTTGTAATTAATATATTGACATCTTCTTTCCCTTTACTTCTTAATTATCTACCTTGCTTAAATTGATTGCTGCAATTTCAAAAAGTTAGATGTGTCTCCTTTACTTACATAGCGTTGCAGATTTGATTTCAACGTTTACGGCTGTTTTACTTGGCAACTTCACGGTTTAGTAGTTAGCCCTTGTTTACTTAACAGTCGGCTCTCGATACCAACGACGGGGTGTCGAGGCATGGTGTCCGTCTCTAGTGCTAGAGGTTCTTGGTTCAATCCCCGGTGAGGTCTGGGATTATTTCACGTGGATTAGACTTCTAGTAATTGGTCTCTGGGTAGTGAGATCTGACGCACGTGTACATTGTTGCGCACTAAAAAAATATCCTTTGGCCTGGAAATAGAAAAGAGTAGCCTAACGGCACTGCCGGGGCAAAATTTGGAGTTAAAAATCTACCTAAAAAGTATTTCAGGAACCTCGCCGGTGCACTGTGCTGAGCTTCTTCGGACGCAGACTTGAGTTTCAGAAGAAGAACGCAGCACTTATGGGTTACTACCCGTGTGCCATGATGTTGATCCTTTGTTCAAACTTCAAACTAACGACGTAAAAATTCACAAAAAGCGGCCTGCTGTCAAAAAGCCCGCAGCTAGAAATAAACCAGGTGTCTTGGAATTACGAAGCGCATTCGCAATTCACAAACGCAGACTGCAGGGTTTGTTTACATTTAGAAGAAAATCTGGCAGGGGTTTCCAAAACATGGCGGCACATTTAGGTACTGCCACAGTTTTTAAAATCTCCACTGGACTATTTTTGAAAGAGGAAGGGTCACCATATCGTTTTTACTACGAGCAAGAATCTGATGATTTGCGTAGTATTCTACGTGTAAGTTTTTATTTTTAAAGTATGTAATTTTAGTTTGACACAGTCTTTTTGTTGTTTTGAATCAGAATGGATCATTTATGACGTCTTGTTTTTATTTTTCGGAGCGCAAAAATGGAAGACCAAGTTCCAATATTTAACTTTAACCTTTCCTTTTGACGACGGAGCCTTATTTTTTGAAATTCAGTGTCAAGAAGATGAAGCTTGAGGACCGAATTCCCTTAATTTGCACACACACACACAATTATAAAAAAAATTAATCGTTTAATTAACTCAGGGCCATGCATTATTTTGACACTGACAGTCCCAGCCATCTAGTTTAACTAACCCCAATCCACGCTGTGCGTAGCGGCGTGTGAGATACTCCTCGGCGGTGACGGAAGTCGCCGGAAGTGCGCAATTTAAGTCACCATAAGTTCGCAATTGACATGTGACTGAGGCCCTGTTAGGGTATATTTTCGGCATCGATAGTTTGGGACCGTTATTTGGAGGATAGCCAAAAAAAAACTTTCTTACGCCTTCAGATGTATTGGGTAAATAGGGTTAGACCTATATTTTATAGACCAAACAACACTTTGTGGCTGATGCAACAGTCCTTCTCACCATTGTTAAGCACAGGTAACACCCCACCAAAAAAAATCTATGAAAAATTACAGAACGTAAACTGATAAAGTGGCCATTAAACAGCCCACTTGTGCAAGAAATGCGAGAAGCAATCTGACTGGCAGTACGGAGACCAGCCAGCCAATCTGAAGGCTTATATTACTGGGCCAACAGATCGGCCCAGCCGTCTTTTGGCTGTTTTGCTGTTAGACCGACAGATCAGCTCAGCTGTTCCCAGATTGTTAATGGGTGTGCTGTTTTATCCTCTCCAGACTGCTACTTGGTTTACCAGCCTGAGATGATATATCACACACACGCACACACATATATTTAAAAAAAAATCGAATCTTCATGGCACACCATCAAGGCAGATCTTAGATACTGAGGTGATGACGTCATGCAGCGTCTCCAGGACTTATTAAAAACAGCTATTGGCCGAACATTCTTTGCCGCTGTTCTAGTTGTGAGGTACAAGACCACTTTTATCCCAACCCCACCTGTTAAAGAGCTCATGTCTCCGTACACCTAATCCAATTGTATTTATCAATCTACATGTAAGTGCCAGTTGACTTACATCCGTCAAAGGGAAAGACAGTTTTGAAACAAGAGTGGCTTCATGCACAGTTCAGGATTTCTTCAACGGTGTCGACGACAGTCAAAAGGAAAGAACCTACTTCTTTCACAGGATGTCATTTGCTTAATTCTTGACACTTAATTGACAACGACAGTGCTTTCCATGTGGTTTATCACACACCGAACAGGCGACTGCTGAGAATGGCCGAAGCTTTAAAAATTAAAATCAACAACCCGCTCCTTTGTAAGCAGACAGAATTTATACTAAATTTGAAGTAACCCTGGTAAACTCTGTAAACTTCAGGCGACTAGACAAACCACGATGCATTGCAAGAGACTATTTGCATTTCATTTTGATTTATTCAGTTTTTTGTGTGTTTTATTTTATGTTCATGTAACTCTGTAGTAAGCTTGCTTGTTGTACCCCACTAGGACATCACACAAGCGATAAACACCCGGTGACACAAAGTGCCACCATGCAGATAAGGATCACCGTGGAGAGGTCCTAGAAACCCCTTTCAGCCGTTATGGCCACAATTGTGGCCCAGCTATATTCAGGGCCCCCGGCTAAAGCTAGGGTGGGGCTTCAAATAACGAAAAATTGTATCCCAAAAGGGGATGACTAAGGTTACTCTGTAGTATGGTACCTGACAGCGAAATATGCCTGGCAATAAATTAAGCAATGTATTGTTTGTGTCCGCATTATTTAAATTCATTATGGAAAAACATTGTTTTAAAGATCTTAGATGCGCTATTTAGCATCCAGAGGAATTGTTATAAATAATTGAGCCACCCTAACAGTAACAGCTGCACCAGCTCTGAAGATAAGGACTTCATAACTTCTAATTTCTTCGAAGTTGGAGTGCATCTGCCTGAGAGACAAGAAACCAGCAGTCTGCATACAGATGAGTCAGATCTGTAAAACCGATGCACGCAACACTCAGGTTCTGGAACAGGACTGCAGTCCAGAAGTGGATGAACAACCAAAACTTTCCACCAGAGTTTACAGCTGGTGAATGCGAAGAAGAAGAAGATAACTTCTAATGGGAACAGCCAGTAAATACCCTGTGATTGCATTGATACTTCTTTAGAGAAATAAGCATGCATGGAAATGCTCAGTGTTTAGAGCGAAGTCGATTCCGATAACAATATAAATGAATTGTAATAATGAGGTATAATTGTCAGAATGACTCTCGGATGTGACAGATTACCTCTGAAGTTGTTAATATTTTTCGAGTTAGCATCAGTCTGATGCCACCAGAGGATCAAGGAGTTTGTTGTAACATTTTGAGAGATTAAAATGACAAGCAAGAGAAATCATTGGGTCTTTAGTGAATTTGTGATAATCAGTGACCATCCAAATCTGCAGATTCTTGGCTTTCACATTGTGGCTGAATTGAAAGATAAGTGTAAGTAAGTATAAGTAAAGTAAAGGACCCCCTTCAGGCGTATTGGACATATAGGGCTAGACCTATATTTTATAGATCAGTTGGCACTAGATGGATGATGTGGTCAATATAACGCCAGCTTCCTTGGCTTCCCAGAACTCCACCTGGTATCCATTTAAGGCTGGGTCAATCTGGGAGCCAAGCGACATTTAAAAAAAAGTATGGTACTTTCAGGATCCGAAACCACCACCTTCTGATCTGCAGGTGAGCATAAAACATAAGTGTACCAGTGGTCATTTGTTATTCTAACCTATTTATATAATAGGCCATGGGTTTAGTCTGAGACGCAGTCCTTTGATTAGACAGTGACCACTCTTTGACCACTCTTTTTCATCAAAAAAAGAGTGGTCATCATCATCTTGATGGACAACACACACACAGTGATTAGACAATATCTGTGTTTCAGAGATCCTTTGGGGGTTGACACCTGACCTACTGAGTTTCATGCTTTGTTTGACTCTCTCTGCAGCGAATGGTTTATTTATGGAGAAGAACCAAGGCATATGGGAGAAGGCCTGATGCGATGCATGCTATCCTTTTATTTTATATGTGTCTGTTCAAAGTTTTGTATGTTTTCATTTTAGTGTGTGCAATTGAATATCTTTGCAGAAAGGACTAGGAAGCCTAGTCAATGATCCTGCAGAAGCAGATATTCTGTGAGTACTACAAATTTGCTACTGATATATGATGTCAAAGACATTAAGTAATGGCAATTGTATCCTAGTCTGCAGGGAACAGTATGCAGAAGAAAAAATATTCTTTCAGGTCACAGAATGGCCCTTTGGCAATACCCAGAGTACATGCTACAGCTCAAACAAGATAGTCGCACCATTGTTAACATGCATCATAGAAGAGCAATGAGGTGTCATTAATTTTTTGTGGGCAGAGGGCATTAGACTCTCAGAAATCTACCGAAGAATGGATATTCGGTACAGAGACAGTTGTTTGTTTCACAGGAAAATTTATGAATGGGTGGAAAGATTTAAAAACGGAAGTGATAATCTCAGTGATGTAAAGCAGAGTTGGAGACCTGTTGAACCAACCCTAACAGCCCCTGGCTGTTGTGTGGTTTCTCTAGACAATTTACATCCAGTAGTTTGCCATTGCTTTCTGGGCGGTCGGCTTTCTTGATACCAATGTCGAAACCAACGCAAGGCGCATTGCCCGCAGCTGGGATCGAACCTGGCATCCCGGCATTACGAAGCAAAGCGTTCGCATCAACTTAGCCACAGAGCCGTCTGGAGACCTGTTAGCATGGCAATAGAGACAGTGAAACGGCAGATAGAGAAATCCACAACAACAGATGAGTCACCATTGATGAAAGTCATGGTGCTGCATAAAAAACTATTCATGACAACTGTGATTTTAGGAAAATGTGTAGCAGATGGGTTCCATGGCAGCTGTCGGTAATCAGAAGCCCACTATGCAGATGATTTGTCAGGAGCATTTGGACCATCATGCCTGTGAAGAAGATGCTGT